CGACTAATCCACTTCACACTCTCAATCCACTGGTAGTTCGAGAGAGGAGCCACTTCCATCGGTGGATCGTGGTCGGTAACCGCCGATTGGCTAGGTGGTACGACATTCTCGCTGAGTACCAACCCGCGTTCTCGTATCTTCCTATTGCGAAGAACTGAATCGCGGATGCATTGAGTCGCAGACTGACTTGCAGCCAGATACGAAGTATTTCCATGACCTGAGTATGTCCAGCTTCAACTACACTGCCTTCGGTCTTGCTCTTAGTGAAGTGTCTACAGATTCCGAGCTGCTGAAGAGGATCAAGGAAGCTTACGCCAAAGATCGAGATGTCCAGGCAATCCGGGCAGCAATCCAGCGACGTACAAGCACCTCAAAGCCGAAAGCAAAACGCCAGCACCGCAAGCTATACCGATACTATTCGGAGGCAAACGGCTTGCTGTGGTATCAGTCTCCAGTGGGTGACCACCCTCGAATCGTTGTTCCTAACGATGTGAAGTTGAGGCAATCAATAATCAAGGAGAGTCATGACACCAACTACAGAGGACATCATGGTACTGAGCGAACGCACTTGACGTTAGCACGACGCGGGTACTGGTCCAAGATGCTCAAGTCGATCCAAAAGTTCACTGCTGACTGCGAACCATGTCGACGAAACATGCCAAGGCTGACAAAGCCTCCTGGTTTACTCGAATCATTGAGTATTCCGGATGAACACTGGAGATTAATCTCCATGGACTTCATGGCGGATTTTCCTAGAGCGAAGCGTGAAGTTGATTCGACTTAGGTCGTCGTCGAACGACTGGCCAAGCGATGCCACTTTGTGCCGACTACGAAGAAAGTAACAGCCGAAGGCGTTGCCCGTCTCTTCATCGACAACATTTGGAAACTTCATGGTATGCCGACGAATATTGTATCCGATCGCGATAGGAAATTCGTGTCTGCGTTTTGGCAACCCGTCTTCAAGTCTATCGGCACGACACTCAGCATGACGGTAGCACACCGGGCTCAAGGCGACGGACAAACTGAGCGAATGTAATCGGACGCTAGAAGAGTATCTTCGATGCTTCGTCAGTCCACGTCAAGACGACTGGGACATTCATTTAGCGAACGCCGAGTTTGCCATCAACTCAACGGTGAACTCCAGTACCAAGCTCGCACCGTTCGAAGCGGATGTAGGGTACATCCCGCTGAATCCGCTACAGTTTTCAGCGGAGCAATTCGATACGGTTGCGAAAAGTCGTCCCGGCGCTGAGTTCCACGAGCGCTAAGCTTCGCTGCCGTGAAACACTTGCTCAAACGCAAGAGCGAATGCGTGATGTCTACGACAAGAACCGACAAGAACAAATTTTGAGGTTGGTGACCGTGTGTACTTGAGTACCAAACACTTGGATCCCAAGCATACTGGTCTTCCAGCATCCACTAAGTTTGGTCCGAAGTGGATTGGACCTTACTCTGTTGCGCGGAAATTACACAACCATGCTTACGAACTCAACATTCACGCTGGCAACAAGCTTCACCCAGTATTCAATACGGGTTCGCTGACGCCGTACAACGAGCCGACACGCTTGTCGCGGCCCAGCGAGGTTGTGCTGGCTGATGGAAGTATCCGCCAGATCGTCAAACTCTTGGTGAAGAAGAGAACACGCAAGCGACGGACCCAATTCCTTGTGGAGTGGGTGGGAGAAGAGAAGCAGACCTGGGAACAGGTTGAAAACTTGTCACAAGTCCCAGACCTCATCGCAGAGTTTGAGACTGCAAGGCGCAAGAAACGAAAGA